AAAAAAAAAAAAAAAAAAAAAAAAAAAAAAAAAAAAAAAAGAAAAAGAAAAAGAAAGAAAGAAAAGGAAAAGAAAATGTGAAAGGATAAAACCTGACAAACATATATGATTGAGAGAGGTCATGTATCCAGATCGAGACAAAGTTCCCTGGGGATTAGATAGAGAATATAGAAGCAGGTCCTCCCTGAATCCCAGAGGTGCCCGGAGCTTGAACTTAGTAAGATTTTTAGGTGGCCAGGTGTGGTGGCTCACACCTGTAATCCCAGCACTTTGGGAGGCTGAGGAGGGCAGAACACCTGAGGTCAGGAGTTTGAGACCAGCCTGGCCAACATGGGGAAACCCTATCTCTACTAAAAATACAAAAATTAACCAGGCATAGTGGCGGGCACCTATAGTCCCAGCTACTCAGGAGGCTGAGGCAGGAGAATCACTTGAACCCAGGAGGGGGAGGTTGCGGTGAGCCGAGATCGCGCCATTGCACTCCAGCCTGGGTAACAAGAGTGAACCTCCGTCTCAGAAAAAAACAGAAAAGAAAAAAAGAAGAAGAAAAGAGAAAAAGCCAGACTTCCATCACGTATGTGATAATTATGTGTTTAAGTGCGTTTTTCTGGACTACCAGTCCGTAACTTTCAGCAACCTAACGTGGACCCCTGAGATCAAACCCCAATGTATGCCTCGCCCAATGCTAGGTTAGAAGGGAAAGAGGAAACTCAATTCTCAATCTCCAAAACAGGTGAGACCAAAGTCAACTCGAAGAAGCTTTAATAGCAGGAGGTGGGACTAGCCTCCTGGCCCAGGAGAGAGTGGCAGTGGCCACGCTCAACTGCGGCAGCAGAAAAATCGCACATCGTTCAGTGCAGTGTCATCGCTGGGGCCTCGAGGCCCCTCGATCTTGGTCTGCAGGCTGCACACACCCTTGGGGCAAGGGGAACTCCAGTTTCCAAAGTCTCCCCAGCTCAGTCCAGGCCCCTGCAGTTCCTCGCCGTCTGAACAGCGGAAGCGCACGTTGTTCGCTGCTGTGTCGTCACCGTAGGGGTGAGGTGCCTCCACGCGAAACGAGAAAGCCACCAGGTAGCTGCCGCCCGTACACCACAGCGGCTCACTCCACTCACCCCACCTGCAAGGGAAAGGGAGATGTGCTGGCTCTGCGGGCGCCCCCATTCACCAAACCCTTGAGACTTTCCAAGTCACGTGCTTTCTACATGACCTGGTGGGCTGGCTCTAGCTCCCTGAACTCCGCCGAGAAGCGGAGGAGAGGTCTTCCATGCACCCCCAGCCCAGGTCTATATTGGACTATACTGCCCCGTAGCTCTGGAGGAGCCAACCTGCCTGTTGTGACAGAATATGTCAGAGAGGGTAAAGGACATACCATCACCCAGGGGGATCCTTGATCCCTGTGCCCCACCTTCCAGACTTGGACTCTATTGCGTGCGCGTTTCCTAGGACGTTCCCGCACGCACAGTGCAGCCTGATCCCATTCAATGCAGTGTCGTCGCCAGGACCACCTTGGGGAGGCTCCACCTGGGTATCGAGGAGAGGAGCAAGGACGAGTCACGGAATTGCCATCCTTGGCTGGGTAGTCCCAAGTATCTGTGCCCTCTCCAGGACCTAGGCCTGAGCTCCAACCTTAAGCGAGAACCCGCTGGCGATGAATCCTTGAGGACACATCTCAGGCCAGGCCCAGTCGCCCCAGGGACCTCCGTTGGTCACTTCTATGACCGCCGTGTAGCCGTTCTGCTCATCTGCCTGTGCACACGTGAAACACGTCGCCTGCAGAAGCAGCAGTAGCAGCAGCAGCAATAGCAGTTTGGCTCTGGCACCCAGCTCCATCCTGCAGCCTCTGTGAATCAGGCTTCCTAAGCAGATTTATATCAGTTTGGCCCTTGCAAGGGCTCCGATTGCGGAACAGCCTCTCAGATTAAGTGAAACGCAAAACTAATCCACTCCCGGAACCCAGCAGATTCGATTTCCTGCTCCCAGAGGCAAAGGTTCCCAGAGCTAGTGAAGAAGGGGCAGTGAGAGAGGGTGAATTGAAATAACCATCACCTACTGAACCTTTACTATAGGCTATGAATTATGCTTAGCGCTTTGTAGACGTATTTTATTTAACCCTCATAACAATTTTAGGAGGTGAGAATTACTCTTCTTATTTTGTAGATGAGGGAAATGGCAAGCGATTTGCCTTAGGTTCACAGCCAAGAAAGCTGGGAAATAGTCCAGGAGTGGGAGCGGAGACCAGGGCTAGGGATGGAAGTGATCTCACAGGAGTCCCACCAGGGCAGGATGGGTCAAGAGCAACCCAGAGACCTCCAGGATGTGAGGGGATATCAGAGTGAGGACAGGGCAAGAATCCACCAACTGGAGAAGCTGAGAAATCTCCTGTCAGCTCAAAGTCTCCTCTGAGAGGTCTTCTTAGAGATCTGGGCCCTACCTAACACCTTAAGAATCCAGAACACCCTTGCCCACCTTAGAACCTTAAAAGAAGATATATACAAATAGGAACTTTTTTTTTTTTTTAAGATGAGGTTTCACCATTATGGCCAGGCTGGTCTTGAACTCCTGACCTCAGGTGATCCTCCCACCTTGACCTCCCAAAGTGCTACGATTACAGGCATGAGTCACCTTGCCCAGCCGGAATTGTTTCTTTCTTTCTCTCTCCTTCCTTCCTTCCTTCCTTCCTTTTTCTTTCTTTCTCTTTCTCCTTTCTTTCTTTTCTTTCTTTCTCTTTGAGATGGAGTCTTGCTCTGTCACCAGGAATACAGTGGTGTGATCTCAATTCACTGCAACCTCTGCCTCCCAGGTTCAAGTGATTCTTCTGGCTTAGCCTCCCAAGTAGTTGGGACTACAGCCACATGCCACCACACCCGGCTAACTTTTTGTATTTTTAGTAGACAGAGGGTTTCACCATGTTGGGCAGGATGGTCTCAGTGTCTTGACCTCCTGATCAGCCTGCCTCGGCCTCCCAAAGTGCTGGAATTACAGGCATGAGGCACTGGGCCTGGCCTAACAAATAATTTTAAAAAGTTTGGGGACAGGAAACTAAGAACCCCTAAGAAGATAATGCTCTTTCTTCCATTACTTTTTGTATCCTGGTATCCTTTCCCTGAATGCCTTTCCCCTTGTGACCACCGGGTGGACTCCTAATTTGCAAAACAAAAAGCAAAAAAGCCTGGCTAAGTATGGTTTCGTTTTTGTTGTTGTTGTTGTTGTTCATTTGTTTAGGGGGAGTTTTTGCTCTTGTTGCCCAGGCTGGAGTGCAATGGCGCCATCTTGGCTCACCGCAACCTCTGCCTCCCGGGTTAAAGTGATTCTCCTCCTCAGCCTCCTGAGTAGCTGGGATTACAGGCATGTGCCACCATGACCAGCTAATTTTGTATTTTTTTTGTAGAGATGGGGTTTCTGCATGTTGGTCAGCCTAGTCTTGAACTCCTGACCTCAGGTGATCTGCCCACCTCGGCCTCCTAAAGTGCTGGAATTACAGGCATGAGCCACGGAGCCTGACCGGTTTGTTTTGAGATGAAGTCTCTGTCACCCAGACTGGAGTTGCAGTAACCCCATCTCGGGTCACTGCAACCTCCACCTCCCAGGTTCAAGTGATTCTCCTGCATCAACCTCCTGAGTAGCTGGGATTACAGACATGCACCACAACACCCGGCTAATTTTTATATTTTTTATTGAGAAGGTGTTTCGCCTTGATGGCCAGACTGCTCTCGAACTCCTGATCCCAGGTGATCCGCCCACCTCAGCCTCCCAAAGTGCTGGAATTACAGGTGTGAGCCACTGTGTCTGGCCTAAAAAAGCCTGGCTGAATGTGTTAGGGAGCCACAACCCCTGATTTACCTGCCCTCATACAGACTCCTTTGTTTATTCAATACCTATTTATTTAGCAATAATGTGTTTTGGCTTAAGCAATATTCCAAGTGCTGTAAGCAACCGAGAAAAACAAGGCCACCGTCATCAAAGCTCACATTCCAGTGGGAGAGACAGAGGATCAAGTCTCCCCCAGTGGACCTTGAGCTCTGTGAAGGCACTTTTGTATTCTCGAAGCCCAGTACCTGCGGAAGTACTTAATAAAAGTTGGTGCAATTAACGATTGAAGAGCCAGTCTGGAGTTTTGAAAATTAAACCACAAAAATGTAAAAGGATAAAGCCTGATGTATGCATATGAGCGAGAGAGGTCATGTATCCAGATCAGGACAAAGTCCCCTGGGGATAAGATAGAGAATTTTGAAGTGGGTGTTCTCTGGATCCCAGAGGCACCCGGTGCTTGAACTTAAGATTTACAGGTGGCCGGGCGCCTGTAATCCCAGTACTTTGGCAGGCCGAGGCGGGTGGATCACCTGAGTTCAGGAGTTCAAAACCAGCCTGGCCAACATGATGAAGCCCCGTCTCTACTAAAAATACAAAAACTAGCAGGTGTGGTGGTGCATGACTGTAATCCCAGCTACTTGTGAGGCTAAGGCAGAATTGCTTGAACCTGGAAGCAACGGTTGCAGTGAGCTGAGATCACCGCCACTGTACTCCAGGCTGGGCAACAAGAGTGAAATTCCGTTTCAAAAAAAAAGATTTATAGGGCAATTGTGGTCAGCTTTTCCATTTAGCGTTTTCTCATACGTTAACATTTAATCCTCACATGAGGCCTGCAAACTACCTATTATCATCCTCAATTTACAGTGGAGGGAACTCAAGCCCAGAGTGAATTCAGGGCCCATGCCACTGCTCAGCAGGGGAGCTGTTCTGACCCTGCCTCTCTTCCCAATACTTAGAGTGCCTGTTACTATAATTGGCCCTACAGGGAAGGGAAATGCACAGATCTGTCACTGCCGTCGAATCCCCCAAATTCCCTTCATTCGGTTCCTGGCACCCAGAGTAGCCGCCCTTTGGGGCGAAGGGCATTGGAGAAGGGGGCCTTAGCGGGTTAATTATTAACCCTTTGCTCCTCACGGCACCGCGGACTTCTCTTCCCTCCTGGAGGCGGAGGGACACGGACAAGCTAGGGGTTGGTGAGGGGGCGGCGGCGCCAGCCGCAGCCATGGGGGTGGCGGTGCGGCCCACGGCCCCGCGGTGCTGCTTCCGCCTCTCAATTCCTCTCGTTATTTTCGCGCTGCTGCTGCTTTATCTCAGTGCTCGGAGCCTCGGTGAGCTGCCCCTTCCCTCACCTGCTCCGGGAGGAACCCCGGGGTCCAGGCCCTCACGACTCATGCCCCTGTCTCCAGCCCTCACCACTCTGCTTCTCCTCTGCCAGGCGGCCGCTCAGGCTGCGGACTCGTGGCACAGGCCTGCGTTCCAGGGGGAACGGCGCCCTTCCAGGTACGCTCCGCGCAGAGCCGGGCGCGGGCGCTCCAGAAGGGACCCGAACAGGGGGGCGTGTAGCCAGAATGAGGGTACGGTGAAGGGCTGGTCCGACCCCAGTCTCCCCTCTCCCGTCGGAAGCTGAGCGCACAGGAGGAGGGACACCGGCTAAACCTACGGAACAACGTCTTCGAGGCGGAATCGGCTCCCACTCTTCCCATCGTGTCTCCCCACCAGGTCCGGCAGGAGTCGGGACCCCTGGAGGCCCCGGAGAGGAAAGAGCCTCCGTGCCTGGGCCCTCGGGGGATGTTGGGCCGCATGATGAGGCCGTTCCACGCCAGTCTGAACCCTGAAGGGGATGTGGGGCTGTCGCCGTACCTGGCGGGATGGAGGGCACTCGTCGAGTGAGTGGCCTCCCACCCCCCAGCCGGTCCTGGCCTCCTTGGCGGCTCCATCGCCCTCTTTCAACTGGTCTCGCCCACAGGTTCCTGACTCCCCTTGGCTCTGTCTTCGCCTTCGCCTCTAGGGAGGCCTTCACCACGGTGACGGCCCTGGAGGCTCGAGTGCACGGCCCGGACGCGGAGCACTACTTGTCTCTGGTGACCATGGCGGCGTGGGAGCGGCGGGCGGGACTGCTGGAGCGGCCGGGGGAGGCCCCCCGGGACCCGGCCCGGAGCTCGGGCTCTCGCACGCTGCTCCTCCTGCACCGCGCGCTGCGCTGGTCCCAGCTTTGCCTCCACCGGGTGGCGACCGGCGCGCTGGGAGGCCCGGACGCCGGTGCGCAGTGCAGCGACGCCTACGGCGCGGCCCTGGGCCCGCACCACCCCTGGCTGGTCCGTCAAGCCGCCCGCCTCGCCTTCCTCGCCTTCCCGGGTCGCCGCCGCCTGCTGGAGCTGGCATGCCCGGGAACCACCGAGGCGGAGGCGCGCGCCGCGCTGGCCCGAGCTGCGGGCACCCTGGAGGATGTCTACAACCGCACCCAGGGCCTGCTGGCCGAGCGCAGCCTGCTCCAGCTGGCCTAGGGCGGTGGCTGCGGACACCGGCGGGCACGGACCGGACCGCCCGGGGTGGGGCCGCGCAGCCCGGGATCTGCCCCGCAGCCCGCGCCGCGGCCGCCTCCGAATCCCGCCTCTTCCGTGACGTCGCTGCGGTGAGGGGTGTCCGGGCAGGGAAGGGGATTGAGCTCACTATGTCCGCAGTCTCGGGAAGTTGGGAGGAGCTGTGAGGAATAAAAAGCATGATTTGGCAGCGTCGACTTAGGGCGTTTTGTGTGATGACGATTAGCGCTCAAGGGAAATAGAAAACGAACGTCAGAAGATGTGTCATCCCCGTTCCCGGCAGCCGAGAGACTCACCCTCCCCCGGCCTATCGCAACCACTCCCGGGGCTCTGGTTGCCAACCACGCGTTGAGTCTCCAGCCCAGACTTGTCCCTGAGCGTCAGCCCTCTGCAGCATACAGCAAGCATCCTGCACACTTCACAGATGCTGCAAATGCAACACGGGTCCCACCACCATCCCGCTAAGAACTGCGCCGCCTCCTGTGTTCCGTCTTTTTTTTTTTTTTTTT